AAGTTCTGTAACAGTGCTATGAATGAAACAGAAACATCAGAAAGGAGACCGACAACCATCTAAATGCCTAAGTCAGGGCTGGAGGTTCATCTTAACTCTCCTCCTCATTATGTCCTGTCATTTATACTTTCAAAATGTCCTTGAATTCAGCTTCCGCGGTCTGCTTCCCCCTCTCGCTGCCCTGGTTCAGCCTCTCAGTTTCTCTCATCTGTACTATGGCAAGTATCCTCTCACGTGGCTTCTTGCCTGAAACAACCACCTGGCATCCCATTTCCCACACTGCTATTAGAGCAACTTTGCTCAAATGTAAATCTGACCTAGTCCCTGACTTTGAAAACCCTTTTATAACTTTCCATAACACATACGAAAAAAAGCCCCAAATCCTTAGCTTGGTGTACTATGTTCTTTATCATCTGATCTTCGCTTCTCCCTCTCTGACAGCTGTTTCAAGATAAGTCAGCTACCACTTCCAGCAGGTGAACTGCTGAAAACTCCTCATGCATCCACGCCTTAGCACACAGTATTCACTCTGCTTGCAATTCTCTCCCTCTCTACTCAATTCATATTTCAGACATGAGACATGTGGCTCTTTATCTCTGATTGTTTCCTTAACGCTCCCAAGGGGAAAAAAAAGAGAAATCACTGAATGTTAAACATAAGTAATAACTAACATTTATTGAGCATTTATTATGAACCAGTCACTGAGCTAGTAAGTATTCTGAATGCCATTTAGCTCATTTAATCATCATGACAACTCAACAGTATATATTATTACTAGTCTCATTTTATAGATGAAAAAACTGAAATTAAGTAACCTGCCCATGGGAGTGGATGCTGGGGAAAAAAGTAACTTGCGCAAGATCAAATGGCTCATGATGCACTGGAATTTAAACACACACACACACACACACACGCTCTTCCATCATCACATTGATCAAACTGAACTGTAGGATCTTTGTTATCGTATTTGTGAACCTCTCCTCCTAAACGGAGCTCTGTGAGGGCAGGACTTGTGTCTTATTCTCCCTGCATCTCCAGCAGCAGCAGAACGTCAGCAATGATTCAGTACCTCCAGGACGAGAAGTTTCCTTTCTCTGCATAATACTGGAGCTCTGCAGTACCAGCAGGGTGGGGACAGTGCTGATAAGACCCTCACAGTTTGCTAAGCATAATGTCTAATGTCTGCCAAAGGAGCAAAAGGAGGGAGGCAAGAAGAGAAATGGACTCACGCAGGACAGGACTCAGAATGGTGTTTGCTTTGATTCTATGGCCTTAAATAATACATGCTCAGTAAATGTTTACTGAATATTTAATGAGTGGCTTATTAGGGTACTTACAAGTGTCTCCCAAGCCTTCAGAAGGAATACTGAGTTGAAAACATATAAATGTTTTTCAATTGATTTAATAAATATTTACTGGCCCCTACTATGGCTAAGTGTTGATTTCTGCTGATTCAAAACTCCAGCTCTTTCATACTTAGAAAAGTCAAATCTCTATAAATACTCTCATTTACATACATGAATATGACAAGGTCTGATCTCATGATGATTACGAGTAGTGTGTTCCTCTGAAACACCAGCATAATTATTAGAACATTTGCTATTCCCTACACTCTTCCTCAAAACTCCAGCAGCCGTTCTCATCAGTGTTAATGAGGACTGGCCGTTTATATTGAGAGAACAGTTTCTTCTAAGACTTGACATATTTAAGCAAAAGATAATGACTAAGTAAAAACAAAAGTAGCTTTATTAAAATAAATAGCAAAATCCAGACATCTGCGCTTATACATCAATACATATGGTAGCTATAAAAACAGCAAGAAACCGTTTTCCTGCTGTCTTGACAGACGTTTTACTAAACTAAGTTCTCATTATTGTTAAGTCATTTTTATTTTTACTAAAAATGTTTATAAAGACATGATCCACTGACAAGGGGGAAAAAGCCAAACAAACAATAGCCCACAGTTTAAACGGAAAGATTTAAAGTATTATTCCCTTTTAAATCAGAATAAAAACTTGTAGGAGATGAAAACATTAAACATATTCAGAGTTAGAAGAAAGAAAAGGGTATGAGAGGACAGAGCTCGGAGATCAGAGACGACATGCACCGGGTCTCTGTGCTTGATATCGTATGATATCACTTACGCGTGGGATCTTAGAAGAAGTGATACAAATTTTATTTACAAACCAAAAATAGACTCATGGACATAGAAACAAACTATGGTTACCAATGGAAAAGGGCAGGGGAAGGATAAATTGGGAGTTTGGGATGAACAGATATACATTACTATATATAAAACAGATAAACAACAAGGACCTATTGTACAGCACAGGGGACTATATTCACTTTCTTGTAATAACATACAATGGAAAAGAATCTGAAAAAAAATCTATATATGTATGAATGTGTATAATTGAATTGCTGTGCTGTACACCTGAAACTAACATTGTAAATCAACTACACTTCAATAAAAAATAAAATTAAACAAAAATAAATAAAATCCCTGAGCTTTATGTGTGCTTCCTGAAGTTCCAGGTTCCCATGCATGTGGACTGTGGTAACGCAGGTACTCATTCACTCATTCACTCCTTCATTTGTTCATTTACTGTCACTATTTATTGATGAAAGGCTCTATTCTACACCTTGAGGATACAAGAAGCTTATATTCTAGAGAGAGGACCTGGGCAATAAATATATAAACAAAGACACAAAGAGGGTAGTTTTAGTGGTGAAAAGTGCTGTGAAGACCATACAAAGGGAAAACGTAGGAGAAAGTAGCTGGAGAGTTGGGCTGTGGCTGCTTTGGGTGGAGTCGTCTGGGAAAAGCCTATGGGCCAGATCACACAGGTTCTAATAGATTATGGTAAAGATGTGGGTTTAATTCTAATTGTGATGAGAAAGTATTGAAGGATTTTAGTCAGGAGAGAAATATGATCTGATTTCTATTTCAAAAGATCATCCTGAAGTTTCACATCAATCCTACGAATCTCCTAAATTTATGCTCCAAAGCCCCAAGCCACCACTAAAAGACTTGTTTATACAAAATGGACACATGTGGGATTTCTTACAGAAATACTGGCTGGGGTTCAATGTCCAGAAGAGGGTGTGGACAATCCCCCCTCTCCTCCACCAGGATGACCTCCCTCACTGTACCTTTCCACCCCCCGACTCTGGGACATGGGGAGAGCTAGGATTACAGGGCTCTGCTATTCCTGCCTCAGTTTGCTGAGGCTGTCCCTCTCGAAAATATCACGTGCATTATGTCTCTGCACTACCATATCGTTAGAAATGATTGGTTCTTTTCTGTAAGCACAGACAGGATTTCAGTTCTAAACTCCCGCAGAAAACATCCTGCAGGTATGCAGCAGTGGCAGAGCTCCAAAAGAGGCTGCTGATCAGGCAAAGCAAGCACTGCTGTCCTGGTACTGAGGCTGGCCCTCCCCGAACTCGTTCTCTCTAGAAAATGAGAACAATTTAATTCAGGGAGAGAAGAAAAATAAATATTAATGAGCACTAATACTACGTACCAAGTACTAGGCCAGGTTTCTCCTTACTGCATCTCATTTAATCCTTTCAACAACCTCAGAAAGTTTAGGGGAGGTAAGCCAGGTCCCTAAAGGCACGTAACAATTTAGGACTGGATGTAGGACCTCCTGTAAGAACACCCAAGCCCACGACCTTTCTACCGCACCGCACTTTCCAGGGAACACCTGCCAGGTTACATGTCAGCTACGGTGAAATTAGAAGTTGTTCTGTGGATTTCTTTGTTACTATATAAAAATTCCTAAAATATGTGACTTTTTTTAAAAAAAGTGAAATTCCAAAGTCCCCATTAGCCTTCCTACAGCTCTGTATATGATGATACCGATAACATTTCAGGTGGCAATTTGAGACAGTCAAACTGATATGTGATGCAAGAGGGAAAAGCAAAACATACTGTGTGATAATAATAAGAAAGGATGCAGATAAAACCCGAAATCGCTCAGGAAATACTTTCTTCCTTCATTTCAGTGTGAGAAAATATTATTTTATCAAGGAAGATAAAAGAGTCAAACCAAAAAGAAATGCACCCTCATTTCCAACGTGCTAGCACTAGAAGCGAGTCCGCAGGTCAGGAGTGAGTCTCCACTGCGGCACGGCGATCCAGCAAGGAGCAGAGCCTTGCTTACAACAAAAGTAACGGGAAAATACTGTACGAGGGCCCCTGCTGGTGCTGCTACAATGTACAGTCTACTTACTTGGAATGACAGTTTGAAACAAAGTTGGCTACTTCTATGTCGCTTTCTCTTGAACAAGCCACTAAAGTTGGCCAGTGGCCATCAACCCCTATTATAGGAGGAGATGTTTATCCATTACCTCCATCGGAGGGGACGACGCACAACCACAGGTGGGGAGCAGAGACCAGGAGTGGTGCCTCTCTGCTCTCTTACCCACCGACCTCAGTAAGTAGGCTTCACCTTTAAAAGCCTGTGAGTTTAACTGTTTAATCTGATCACTCATGAGGACTGATTAAAGACTGCCTTTATTCCTATAGCTAAATTCAGAGGTCATTTTGAACAAGATAGAACAGATAAAAGTAGAGCAACTCTGAGGACCTGCTGTTCCCAAATGGCCTTCCCCTCACATTTCAATTCTATGCCACGTACTCCCTAGCATACCTACCAGGAACTTCAGGGTCTTACGGGATAAAGTTTGATAATCACAATTTTAAACAGTGGAGAGGAGCAGTCTGAGCTAGCTCAAGATCATATGCCAGCGGGAAACTTTCAATTTCTTCAGCAGCCATGGTGGAATGGACTTTGAATTGAGAATCAACAAACATGTAATTTATATTCAGCATAAGCACTTATTTACCAGGTAACCCTGGGAAGACATTTAATTTATCTGATCCTGCTTTTACTCATTTGTAATATGTGAATATACCTGCTCTCTCAAAGATTGATTCTAAAAATTAAAGGACATAGTAAATGTGGGAGAAATCTAGAAAGCATGTTATTGTAACATATTATAACTGCTGAGGACAGAATCTATTTGGAGAGAGGAACGAAGGTATATGTAACAGGTATCAGACAGTAAAAAGTATCACTAAACGTATAAGGAATTAAGATTTCTTCTAGCAAATGAGACATGTGTTCTCTGTAAATTACTTTTCCCTGCTGTAGAACAAGATCCTATAATCATACACTTCTTATGATGTTTCTCATTACACAGAATCACATGATTTTTAATAAATGCCCAAAAGTTGCATTCTGAGCTGTCTCTTCATTTAAATTTTTATTGAGTCCAATTCTAATGAGAGCAAATTGACAGTTTAAAAAATGATGTCTAAAACATCTGAAATACAGTCCCCTGGACACATTTCCAAAATTATACTAGTGTGATTATCCCTAGGATTGAGAAATTCTGGCCTCTGTGAGCACTAGCCCTCTTCCATTTTCAGCAAACATTTTAAAATTCACCATAAAAGAAGAGATCTTATTCGTAGGCTACATAATCTTTCAGAGTGATGATAAAATTTCAGTAATTGATTCATCCACACATTCCTTTTACCCACAGGTTAATAAACTCTTTGCTTGGGGTCCATAATCAGAAACTATCTGGTAGTTGCCAGAGGCAGGGGGAAGACAGTGGGCAAAAAGGGTGAAGGTAGTCAAAAGGAACAAACTTGCAGGTGTAAGATAAGTAAGTCCTACGGTGTAACGTACAACATGATGACTATAGCTAACAATACTATATTTTATATTCGAAAGTTGCTAAGAGAGTAGATCTTTAAAGTTGTCATCATAAGAAAAACAAATTGTAACTGTGGTGATGAATGTGAACTCACTTATTGTGGTTATCAATTCACTATATATTTGTATCAAATCATTATTTTGTACATCTAAAACCAATATAATGTTGTATGTCAATTATCTCTCAATTTAAAAAATTTTAATAAATAAAAGAGGACCTCACATGAAAGATAACAGGGTTATTTAGATGCAAATGTTACTTTTTTTTTTTTTTAACACCAAAGCAGTTCATATTATGCTTCAATGCTATTTTAGTGAGAGACTGCAAAAACAGAAGAAAAACAAATCTTTCATGTGGGGGACAAACTGGAGGGGAATTTTATTTTAGTAGCAACATTAAGTAAAACCTTGGTGATTACACTCAATTTTACATCCTCCATTATTTTCTCCTTATTACTATTTCATTATCTTTTTTTCCCCTTTAAAAAGTACACTATACTAAAGGCATCCATGTGATTCCACGGATATGTAATTGAAATCACTAATGTGTAACTGAAATTACAGTTGCTAAAACTGCATCCAAAAAATAGAAAACAAAATACACTGTGATGCGGGCACTGAAACTGCGGCAGGTGATACAATTAAAACGTAACTCTCTACAAGCCATGGTAAGAAAGAAAGGGGGTTAGGTTCTTTTGCATGTGTGCTTCATTTCTGCTAAGTAAATGAAATATGAAAAAATAAAATAAAAACACATTACAGATTCTTACAAATAATGTTTCAATTTTCCCTTTTTATAGAGTAAGAAATTACAAAATGAGAGGCATTTGGGGATATGTTTAGTTAGTAAGGGAACCAGACAGTTGTAACCGAGAAGGCTCAAGGTTACAGGCCAGCGTGAAAAACAGTCTGAATTTATCAATACTTTCCATACACCCACTGCTATGGAACCACCACCATCACATTCCATATCCCAAGCCTCCAGCCAAGGGCACCAGTCAAGGAAGCACCCCCAGTAAGAATGGTGCAGGGCTGAGAGGCTCCCACGCAATTTCCCCCAACTACACTCTCACAGGGGTCATCTGCTCCCAACTACATCTCATTCTCAGGAAATGTACTTCGTTGAATTCCTCCACATGAGAAGCATTTCACTGAACATACAAGGAAATCAGACTCATGAAAAATACTTTGTAAGAAGCATTATTTGCAATCATTTGCAGTCAAGCTGCCTTGTAAAAATTATGCTTACCCTTGAAGAGTAATGTGCTCCTGGGAGCTTTCAGCCCAACAGCCACTCAGCATCGCAGCAAAGTAACTAGATCTGGCACTTAAAATGGCTCTAAAGGGAAGAGGGGGAAAACACAGGCAAACATTTATGCAAAATGTAATTTTTCATGAAACTCTTCATCTTCACCTTTTAAAACATAACCGTCTGTTTCTCTTGTTTGTATTCACTGGGAGATTATAATAATACAAATTATAAGCCTATATTTATACCTAAGTATTTTGATTGCTTGATTAAAACATTAATTCCAATGTCCTCTTCATCTTTTTAGTTTTTTCTCTTGAAAGCTCTTAAATTTTAATAATAATTGAAATTACTTCCATCAGTAGGAGAGTAATAAATCATGTACAAATACAGAAGTAAAAACCAAAAGATGTCACTTAACATCTTGAGGAAATAGCAAGAGATTAGAATGCTAAGGGTCCTGAGTTCCAGTTCAGAACTCACCCTAATTATGCTCAAGAACAGCTAAATCTTAAGTTTGAGGAAATAACAGGGAAGGTATTTTCTTTTGAATGTCTATTCTATCTTCTCAGATAAAATTTTAATTCATCCATTCTTTACTTCAACAAACATCTATGACTCCTCCTCTGTGCTAGGGACTATTCTAGGGAATACAGCGACCTTTTCAACAGCGGTCCTGGAACAACTGGACATTCACAAGCAAAAGCAAACAAACAAGTCTAGATACAGACCTCACACCCCGCACAAAAGTTAACCAGTTAACTCAAAACGAATCATAGTTCTAAATATAAAATACAAAACAATAAACTTCTAGAAGAAAACACAGAATCTTGGGTTTGGTGATGAGTTTAGATAGAACATCTAATGTATGATCCAAAAAAGAAAAAAATTGGTAAGTTGGCCTCTATTAAAACTAAAAATTTTTTGCTCTATGAAAGACACTGTTAAAAGAATGAAAAGACAAGGCACAGATTGAGAGAAAGTATCTGCAAATCACACGTCAGATAAAGGACTTCTACCCGACATATACAAAGAATTCCTACAACTCAACAATAAGACAACAAACAACCTAATTTGAAAATGAGCAAAAGATTTGCACAAAAGACTTCCAATGATATACAGATGGCAAATAAGCACAAGATCCTCAACATCATTTGTCATGAAGGAAATAAAAAGTGAAACAACAATGAGACGCTGTACACACCAATCAGAATGACTAAAATCCAAAACCTAACAGTATCAACTGCCAATGAGGATGAGGATCAGAAGGAATTCTCATTCACTGTCAGTAGAAATGTATGTGATAGAGCCACTCTGAAATACTGTTTGGCAGTTTCTTACAAAATTAAACCATGTGATCTGGCAATCACACTCCTAGGTATTTACCCAACTGAGCTGAAAACTTATGTCCACGCAAAAACTCGTTTACAAATGTTTATAGTAGTTGTATTCATGATCACCAAAAGTAAAGCAATCATAATGCCCTTCAGTAGGTGAACAAATTAACAAACAGTGGTACATTCATTACAGTGGAATACTACTCAGTGATGAAAAAGGAATTAGCTATTAAGCTACATAAAAACATGAATGAATCTTATAATGCATATTGTTAAGTAAAAGAAATTAGTCTGAAAGGGCTATATACTGTATGGCTCCATTTATATGACATTCTGGAAAAGGCTACGGAAATAATGAAACTATGGAAATAGTGAAAAAAAAAACCAGGTTTGGGGGACAGGCAAAAGTTGAATAGATTGATCAAAAGGGATTTTTAGTTGAAACTACCCTGCATGATACTATAATGGTAGATGTAGGACCATATGCATTTATAAAAACCCACAGAACTTTATAGCATAAGTGAATCTTAATGTATACTAATTAAAAAAATAAACACTTAGGAGGAGGTCAGGGGAATCCCAGGATAAAATGCAGACTGTGACAAAAGCACCTAACTGTATTGCAAGTGCACGAAACCACCTCACTGAAGGGTGTGGGAGAGAAAGGTGCGGGCCTAAGCGACCGGGGATGAGTGCGGACTGAAGAACAAAGGCAAAGGCTTGCACCGCACAAGCCCTGCACTCTAGTTGGCCCAGCTGCTTCCACGGCAGTCAGGGTAACAACTCTAAAACCACTGTGCCTGAACACTGGAACTCAACGATCAGTACTAGATGTTGGATGAGGAAAGCCAGGCTTCCCACTGCTACAGTGGAAGATCACAGACAGGCAAGGGGGTAAGAAGACTGGGATGATCAATGTATTCGTGTGATCAGTGTGGGAGACCTCAGTAAGAATTCATGTTTAGCTTCATGTAGATAAAGATGGACTCATCTGGAAACATCTGTTCAGATGTACATATATTTAGGTTAGTATATGCACATCTCTTTCCTTGCTTTGTCCGCGGAGATGCCCTAAAAGAAACAGCAACACGCACGCCCAGTGCCCAAA